TAAGAAAGTTACTGCTGTGGAGTATATCAAGGATGGAGTCACCAATACTGTTGTGGTTAATAAGGAGGTAAGTTATATTTCTGTTTTAGAATTCGGTAACTTTGCCGTGGACCTTTAGATAATAAATAGGGCTAGATGTTAAATATGTTGAAAACCTTTACAACCGGAAGGAGATACAGTTCTTACATGACGATCAAAAGAAGACTGAGAAAGACCCACAGATTGACAAAATATCTAATATTAAAAACTATTTAGTTTTTTGCCTAATCTTTTAGTTTTACTTATAAATCCGTATCTATACCTACCTAAATCTAAGATCCATTCACAACAGCTCTTAACAATAAGTCACAGAATAGATAGATACCTACTCTACAACTTTTTGCCGTTTTGCGTTTCAATAAAAATTCTTGACAATTTCGCAGGTAATCCTCAGTGCCGGTACGCTGAACACTCCAAAAATTCTGCTCCTTTCTGGTATCGGACCTAAAGCAACGCTAGACAAGTTCAATATCCCCACAATCCAGGATCTGCCAGGAGTGGGCCAGAATCTGCAGAACCATGTTGGAGTAACCCTGGACTTCACCCTGACTAAGGAGGCCAATGCCGCTGGTCTGAACTGGGATGTCGCTACTGAATATTTGCTGAGCAGATCTGGACCTTTGTCTAGCACTGGAATGTCTCAAGTAAGCTGAAAAATACAATTGTAATTTGCGAAAAAATGTCCTGCTAAGCCTCTTGGTTGGGGCATTCGTATGCATATCTTCTCTATTCTCCTCTATCAAACGTTAGCATGTTGATCAAATGTACTTTTTGATGCAATCTTTAACTCGCTGGCTAAGGAGATTATGACAAATCCTTTTTGTATCTAGAGAAGGCTTGTAGACCAGGTATGGACTGTTACTTTTACGGCTCCTGTCCTGATGGTGATGATGATGACGCAATTCTAACATCAAATTTCATTATATTTGCAAACTATTTAGTCAGTCTACGTCATTTCTAAAACCACTTATAACATAATTTGTCTCACAGCTCACCGGTAAAGTGAACTCGCGCTACGCAGCAGCCGGTGGTCGACACCCAGACGTGCAGTACTTCTTCGGAGGATACTACGCATCATGTGGCAATGCAATCGTCATTGATCCTAAGTCTCTTGATGAAGAAGCCGAGAGAAGGCATATCACGTAAGTTTGGGATTATTTTTTGGAAGGAAGGTGTATAATGTAACAAAAAATTTAAAAGAAGAACATAGGTAGTAGAAAGATGAAATGAACCCATCCTACAAAACAGAAAAACAAGAAATAAATAGGTATGTACTTCTTACCATTATCCCGACAGGATCTCAGCGATAGCTCTTCACCCGCGCAGTCGTGGGTACCTCACGATTCGGTCGGTGGACCCGGCAGAGCCGCCGTTGATGCAGCCCAACTACTTCTACGACGAACACGAGCTGAACGTGCTGGTTGATGCCGCTAGGATCGCTTATAAACTTGCTAATACAACTGTAAGTACCTTTCTATTAGGTATGGTACCTTAATTATGCGACCGTACCTATAGTTTGCCATAGACAGAAAAAAGTGTTTGCGCTTATTTAATAGTTAAAACGCTTGTATCTAAACGAGATAAGAATGTAACAGCAAACAAGTAAAGTCACCTAAATAGGCCACAAATCCGGTATTTCTTATGGTGATATCCTACGAATGAGGGCGATAATTAGGATCAGGTACACTCAAGAAACCACAGTTCAATAATTGTGATTTATCACAGTGATCTGATATCCTGTTCAAGTGATATCAAGTCAAATATGTTTCTGATTAAAATCTCAACTGGCACAAACACATTGATGTACTCTCAACTAGGACACGTAGATTAATTTACATCTTTAAAAAACTTGGTAAATCTGCCGACGGAGAAATTTTAAAAATGGCTTATCTTGCTCTCTGTCAGTCGATTCTTACTTATTGCATACCAGTATGGGGAGGTGCCGCACAGAGTATCTTTATCCGCCTGGAGAGAGCTCAAAGAGCTGTCCTGAAGGTATTGCTTTTCTTGCCCCGACGCTATTCCACAAAACTCTTGTATGGGAGGGCAGAAGTCCTATCAGTTAGGCAATTGTACGTGTTTTCATCGGTTCTCCGTAGACACTCGGGTCGGCCTCTGCAGCCCCTATCTAGCAGGCTCAAACATCGCATTTTTATCGTGGAGTCTCGAAGGACATCTTTCGCAAACCGACAATATTATATTAATAGTGCTTTATTGTATAATAGCTTGAATAAAAAACTAAGCATCTTTTCCATTAGCAAATTTCAATGTAAAGAAGTGGTAAGAAAATTTCTGCTCGGCTTGGACTATCACAGCACTGAGGAGCTGATGGGGGGCCGTCTGTAGTGGTGGGGGACTAAAATCTAGGAAAAGTGCATTCTCTTTCGCATACACCCTTGCTGTCACGCGTTAGGTTTCAAACAAATTCATAATCTCACAGGTACACCACACACACACACACACACACTTTCACATTCTCACACAAACACACACACATACACACCACACATAACTACCATTTGTTTTTCATCCCATTTTGTTTATTTAATTTAATTACATTCTTTGTCTTCTCTGTTTGCTTTTTGTTGATCTTAATTTGAATTAATTTGTTATGTAAAGTCTATACTAGGCTCACAATGATACCATACATAAGGGCACTGATCTCTGTGATACAGGTATTTCCTAGTACAGAGGTCAGAGTTTTTAATTTTGTACTACGACACCATGACTTGTATCAAATTAGTGTAATGTATAATTAATGTAATGTATAAAATAGTTCTGAAAGCCATCCCGTGATCCCGAAACTCATGTTTGTTCAACTCTATTTACCTATGTGGGTAAAAAGCAGACCAATATCAAGGTGACAAACGGTTACTTTGTATTGCAGATTCTCCGAGAGAAATACGGCATGGTGCCAACAGAAGGATACGGCAGTCAGTGTGAAGGTGGTGGTCGGGACCCGAGCGACAATTTCTTCAAATGTCTGGCACAACAACATACTGCGCCAGAGAACCATCAAGTGGGCACTTGCAAGATGGGACCTGAGACTGATCCTATGGCTGTCGTCGATATGCAGCTCAGAGTTCATGGGATACAAGGTAAGTGAGAGCTATTGTCGTTTTTCTATACAGATAAACAATCAGATTGCCGGCCCCTTTAAAGAGGGTTGAGCCTACATACAGTATCTGAATACACTATTTATTTGTGAACTTAAAGATATTATTTTGTTAGCGGTAATAGAATTATAAATTAATCTTTGTTTATTTCGCAGGTCTTCGTGTTGCCGATGCTTCTATAATGCCAACGCTGCCCTCAGGTTAGTTTATTCATAAACTTAGTAAAGTAAAAAGTATCAATATCTATCGCATTTATATAATGTATCGCATCAAGCTTCCTTGGGCGTACTGCTAAGGAGTGGAATTCTTTGCCAGAGTCTGTATTTCCTGAAGGTTTTTTTTTTTTTGATGAACTCTACCAGTGTAACAACAATTATTTTTGAATTCTTTTCTTTACCATTTCACTTGCTCTTTACTTAAATAAGGTATATTTATCGCAGGCAACACAATGGCACCCGTAATAATGATAGCGGAGAGAGCATCAGAGTTCATAGTGACACGTCATCAGCTATCGAAGAAGTCACCAGGACAAGTGGACAATAGATTCGGCAGTGATGGCTCACAGAACTCCGAGGATGTCAGTGGAAACTATGCCAGCAACGAGCGACCAGACGGACAAGCGCATCAGTAAGTTTTTGGTGAAGAAATCGTCTTTTAAAGAGTGACTTCTTCATTATTTGATAGTAGGATATTTGGTAGTAAATTTGTACAGTGGCCAGCAGTTCAACCTATAAAATTATTTTTAAAAGTTCACTCACACTAGATTTTTCTCCTGTGGTCGTGGGTGCGTTTACGAACATACAAGTTCACATACACATGAAACCCAGACCCGGAACAATAATTTGTAGATCACACAAAGAGTTACTCCGTGTGGGAACCGAACCCGCGACACGTTGCACGGCAGCCAGTTACCCAGCCACCGCGCCAACCGTGCAATTAATCTGTCAAATGTATTTATTGGATTTACCACTTTATGTCAATACCAGAAAGTCGAAGATGTACCTACCTAATAGAGAAATAAAAAAAGGATAGTTTGACTTGCTGGCCACCGTACGTAATTTTCATTCCCTGAACAACACTATAAGACAAAATGATTTTTTACGAGCCATACTTTTAAAACTAAAAATATGCCGTAAGAAGACAAATTCTTTGTAAAGTCGGTCATCATTGACCGCGTCGGAGTAAAACTCACTTCCAAGTCTCGTGTGCTTTTGTTAAACTCCAAACAAAACACAAAGCGAAGACATAGGCTTTAAATCTGTTCATCTTTTCTCTAAAATCAAACCTTTTATTTCAATTAAATTCTGAAATATTTTAAATATCAAACATGTCAGTCGGTTTAAAAGCCAAGAGTATAGTAGGGAACAATTCATATCAAGCGACGTCGGGTGAATTAACGCGACGTTGCCGGACTTTGGTCGACATGTCCGGCAACATCAACGTTACATTACTCCTGTACATGACATGTATATCCTTGGCTTTACGCAATCAACATTACTAATTAATTAATACCCTATGTAATTAATACATAGTATTTTTCGAAACAGTTGGCATCACGGTCCTGGCGGTTACAACGGCTACCCCGGTTACCACGGACCTGCTCCGAAGCAACCCGAAAACCAAACCAACAAGAACTACCGCTGGGAACACAGATGGAAACCGTGGGACAAAACCTCGCAACCAGATTGGCAGAATAAAAACCAAGATTGGCACAAAAACTGGCAACATAATGACAAACATAGTTCCCGATAGATTGTAGTTTAGGTTTAGAAATAAAATAAGTATTTAATTAAGAAAAATATTGGTTTTATTTGCTAATTAATTATAAATTAATTACTTATTATGTTATTTCTTCTTAGGATTTCTTTTGCCTTTCTTCTTTGTTTCGGGTTCGGATTCTGACCTGTACAAAAGAAATAAATATTGAATGGTCATTACAAAAGATTTAAGCTCTTACAAAAGAATTAAACCAATATGACGCGAGTGAAATTAAATAATATTCTTCTCATTATATCTCGAAGAAAGCAAATATGTATTTATCTAATTCTAACCAAATCACAAGCAAAGTCCAAAATTACTTTAAGTATTATAATTGGGATGATGATGACAGGGTATGAAAATTAAAAATCTAATTAGTCCGTAAGTTAGGTAACGAACAAAATATTAGACACGTAAATTTTATTTTGTCTTATAATAAAACAATACTTAGATAAAACGTATCATAGTTTAGGAGTGGGGGGGGGGGGCTAAAACGTAAATTGTACGTATAAAATGTACACATAGAAGTGACGTCACGCGACATTTCAAATCAATATATCGTCTAAAGTATTTATTCTGTAAGAAAATAAAAATACGGGTCTAATGTTTTAAAATAATCTACCTGACGGACATTAAAAAAAAATTAGGCATTACCCTATTGATCTAAGCCTCTAAGGTAATACTTGTTTATCATGTTACACTATTTGTACCAAAACTACTAAAAGCAGTGAATAAAAGGCCAATAACAATGATTATCTATTGAGACTTACTCTTCACTAGCGTCTGGAGTTTCAGGAATGGTGACATTAGCTCTGGAACTCCGCCTGCTGTCTGCTAGCTCACTGGAGTCATTCAGTATTGATTGCACCTGTAAGGAAATAAAAGACATTTCACAACTGTTATATCAATGTAAATAAATAAATATGGGGTAAGTACAAATCACACATTTACAAAAGTAACAGTTACTATCACTAGTATAAAACAAAGTCGCTATCCGCCGTCTGTCTGTGCCTATGTATGCTTGGATCTTTAAAACTACGCAACGGATTTTGATGCGGTTTTATTTTAATAGATAGAGTGATTATTGCGTAAGTTTTATATGTATAATATATGCATACTGCACCCTTGCGAAGCCGGGGCGGGTCGCTAGTTCAATATAAACATTACAAGTATCAGAATATTACCAAAACAGTTGAATACTCCTGAAAAATCCTCAATATCATTGTTTTTTCGGCCAGTTCACTGCCCCTAAAAAAATATTAAAGCTATACGTACAAAATATGTCGCGGTGGCCCGGAGGTTTAAGACGCTGGCTTCTCATGCATGAGAATGTGGGTTCGAAACCTACCAACGGCAAGTACCAATGTGACTTTTTCCGAGTTATATGTACTTTCTAAGATTATTTAGACACCACTGACAAACGGTGAAGAAAAACATCGTGAGGACACCTGGGCTTATAATTTCTAATTATAAGTTTGTAATCGCTAACCCGCATTGAGCAAGGGTGGTGATTAATGCTCAATCCTTCTCCGTGTGAGAAGAGGCTTTGCTCAGCAGTGGGCATTTATAGGCTGTTGATTATACTTACAAATTCCTTCTCATAAACGATGGTATGCAATGTATCATCGGAGTCATCGTGCATGGACCGCGATGACCCCGCACTGCTGCGTCGAGACCCAGTCGACGATCGAGTTCTACGGACTGGCTGAACGACTGCTGTAAAAAACCAATATCATTTACAATACCTATTATAAGTAAAGAGAAACAAAACAAAGTACCAAAACTATCTAAAAAAAAAATTATGACGTGGACTATTTTGTCGTACCAATGTCATCATTAGACAAACAGACCCTAGCTCTGTGATTGGCTGGTCTGATTTAACCAACCAACCAGAGCGTTAGACACTGTGACGTTTCGATGGCCTTCAAACTCGCACGGAGCATTCTGTTGAACACAAAAACACAATAGTCTTCTAATTTCAACCCTAATAGGTCAATGACACTAACCTGGCGCCTCTTTTTCTTGTTCCTTTTTACTCTTGCCCTTGCCTCTACTAGAGCCATTAGACTCAGTACTGGACCCTGACTGTAGACCCCTAGTGGACCGGCGTACAGTGATGTTCGACACATCGAGGTCTGACACGGGAGACGATGACTCTTGAGAAGATATTGTTTCCTTTGGCGACTGTTTTCTTTTATTTTTGGTTTCTTTTGGTTTAGTCTTTTGTTCAATTTTCGCTGGTTCTTCGGTTTTTAACTTTTCTTGAGGTTTAGCTTTCTCTTCGGCTTTTGCTTTGGCTGTGAAAAGTATTATAGCTACACTTATTGTAATGAACATAAACATTATAATGCAACTCATATATTTCTAGACTCCATTACACAAAGTAGCTAATTAAATAATAATATAGCCAAGAAATATATAGAAGAATTACAGTAAAATGCCATCAAGCAATAGTCTTACTGTTGTTATAATATTATTATCAAACTACATTTAGTTTATAATATATTATTTTCGCATTTACATAATTAATAGTAGACATATTATTATCAGTACACAGTATCTAATTTTTTTATTCTTGTCAATCAATCACGAGGCTCGATCCCCCATCATCCCGAAAGGTTGGTAATGCAGATGTAACGCCTCTGGTGTTGCGAGTATCCATGGACGACGATGATTGTATACCATCAGGTGACTCATGTGTTAGTTTGTCGCCCTAACCCATTAAAATCTTACCTCTCTCAACATCCACCAAGGAGCGTTGCGACCTACTCCTCTTCACTCCCTTGTTATCTGGGTCGTTGGTTTCCTTCTCTTTAGCATCCTTCTTGCCTTTCACAGCCTTCTCCTTGGTAGGCTTGCTGGAGTCAGAACTACTGGCTGGACGGTTAAGCGATAACTTTTTCTTTTTGCCTGGAACAATATAAGAGTTTATGAACAGTCTTATTTTGCAAGCAATTGTGATTATGTGGCTGTTTGGGCTTAGAAAATAATACAATTCATACTTGAATGTTCATTTGTCGAGTTTTGTCGAGTGTTTACAGTAGTATAATTTTTCTCGCAAGTTAGTATGACATCTATTGGTCAGCATGTATAGTAGTTAATAATTTTAATAGATTTTTTTTAAATCCTTTGCCCCACACTACGATTTCTCCTGTGTCGTGGGTGCGTTTATGTCCCATGACACCCAGACCCGGAACAACAATCTGTGGATCACACAAAGAATTGTTCTGTACAGGAATCGAACCTGCGACACGTTGCGCGGCAGCCAGTTGTACAGCCACCGCGCCAACCTTGCAGTCAAGTATATTATTAATAATTTGCAACTCTGTGCTGTAATTAGTACCTATTTTTAAAATGAACCAGTTATAAACTCAGAGCCTTCGTACTCATTCAACTATAAGCTCCAAAAGGTAGGTAACATATAAACATAAAAAAACATACTTTTAGTAATCTTAGCTCGTTTAACAGGTGACTCGTCGCTACTGGAGTCTGATGGCTTCTCCACCGACTCTGAAGCGGGCACTGTGTCGGTTTCCGATGATTCTCGTAATGTGGTTCTTGACTCTTGTATGGCTCGACTGCTTTCCGCTTGTGGTTGTGCTGTCGGACATACGTAAATGTAAAGACAATATAAAACAAATTACGACAATAAGTTCTACCAATATATTATGAGTAGGTGTAATCATTATAATTTTTCAATTATAATCAGTACAGAAACTTTAAGGTTCAAATTTAGCTTTTCCCTGACAGCTACATTCAATGCCTACAATTAATAAATGATACACCACAACCTTCAAGAATCACAAAAAATTCCGATAGATTTTCAGTTTATCGTTCTTATAACATATGCGACAGGCGACTCATTTTTCATAATATATAAGTCTAGTGACGAGCCTGTTTCTACATGGCTTTTAATGCATACCTTCAGATATCCTAGATATGGTATCAGTAGGAGAGGTCTCATCGATCTCCACCTCCTCTTCAACTGTCTCGTTGATGACGACATGCGTGCTACGAGCTATTGGTTGCGCTGAAATATAATGAAACTCATTAGTAGTTACTCAGATAATGATAACGCATAACATCTGAACAAGATGAGACAGTCCATTACTGTACTCTAGACTTCATAACATCACGCCTTTTATCCCCAAAGGGGTAGGCAGAGGTGTACATTACTGCACTTAATGCTACTGTATAATGGAACACCTACTTTTCTATGGTAAGAGTCCCATGAAAAAGGGGGTGAGCCTATTGCCATATACCGGGCACATTTCCAGACTCCATGAGATTTTTTTTTAATCCAGCAGTGTTTTGCCCGGCAGTCGCACTTGCGACCACTCGGCCACCGAGGCAGTCGAACTTCTTCTACACAAAAAGGAGTTGGAGACTAAACAGTTTAAAGTTCAGAGTTCAAAGAATGCTACTGCCTTCTTTACACTAGTCATGTTATGCGTCCTAAATAAATCATTTTCAAATAACTTACGCAGTGACGAAGTGGTCCTGCCAAGTGGTGCTAGTGAGTCTTCTTGCATCGTTACTCCTTCGGTTATACCTGTCAAGATACGAATTATATTATGGTTTAATCATTGAATAGTTCTATCGATTTGTATATTGCACACATTGCACAGTAGAGTCGCCCACCGACCCCCCGCGGGAGTAGCAGTGTTTTGTCAAAGTAATGCAGTATCTACCTGTATTAGACATTTTGTTCATGCTGGCTCGCTCAGCCGCTTCTAACGCACCCAAGTATCGCGTTAGGTTACGACATGACTGCTTGTCTGGCAATTTCTGTAAAAAGTACGTTAAATAAAACAATTTGTTACAGCTACTTTTTACTGTCTGCCTACTACTGTTGTGGTGGCCCGGAGGTTTAAGACGCCCACTTCTCATGCATGACGGTGCGGGTTCGAAACCTACAAACAGCAAGTACCAATGTGACTTTTTCCGAGTTATATGTACTTTCTAAGATTATTCAGACACCACTGACAAACGGTGAAGGAAAACATCGTAAGGAAACCTAGGCTTATAATTTCTAATTATAAGTTTAAAATCACCAACCCGCATTGAGCAAGCGTGGTGATTAATGCTCAAACCTTCTCCGGGTGAGAAGAGGCTTGGCTCAGCAGTGGGCATTTATAGGCTGTTGATGATGATGATGACTTTTTAAATAAAAAATAACACAATGTAGAAAAGCGAAAAATTACGGATTCATTAAGAATCTCGGGTAGGGCTAAGGTATAATTGAGATTTACGGTTTTAGGTAAATTTTAATGCTTTGTTTTTTATAATATATGTTTTATGGGCCGACGTTTGACCACTATCTGGCCTGGTGGTAAGCGATGATGCGGTCTTAGTTGTAGATAATATCGTGGAATTAACAAATTCAACAACATTATCGCTGGCTACGATATTTTTACATAAATTACGAAAGCGCAGCTTCCTATAAGTTCTAGTGTGACTCATAATAAACAAAGTTCATGTTGAATCCTAGGAAAGTCCGATGACAGTGCTATTTGACATAGCTATGTTAGGTATAAAAGATATAATACTTACAAGGCACAAATCCCTAAGCATATGTGCGAGTTCGGAGGCGAGTAGCGCGTCCCTGGGCACGGACAGCAGCGCCAGCAGCCTGCAGGCCAGCCCCGCCTCGGGCGCGCTCGGCCGCCGCACCACGTACTCGCACACCACCGTCGCCATGCCGCCCTGACTGTCCGCCAACTGACAAAGGCAAAAAGACATATCACGCCATGTCAATCTTAATCCATCATAAAGGGAGAGCTATCGCTTATACAGAGTGACTTGTAACTCGACGTCTTCCTCTCGGGAAGTGATAATACAACTAATGTCCTTCAAAATTAGCCCTGGCTCTGGTCCAAAAGTGGCTAGATTCTGAGATATTCAACATTTTCGGTTTTAGTGAAAAAAAAACTCGACCGAACTACAAAAACATCAATAGCTAAAAAACCACTGGACTGATTTAAGTGATTTTAGTTTTAAACAATAGAAAACTGCATTTAGCTTAAAAAAATCATATTACACTAAGCGTTTATAATTAAGAAGCGGCTGAAGAAATAAGACGCACATTCAGTTCAAGAGTGACCGCCACAGAGGTAAGGAAGCGTGTGTGAGCACGTATTCATCATAGGGGGAAGGTCACTTTGAACAAAATTGTGTAAATAATTGTTTTTGAAATTACCCGTTTTCTTTTACACTTAACTATCATCAATCTATTAATAAATATTTTGAAAATCACTTAAAACAAACCAGTACTCTTATAGTTATTGATGTTTTTGTAGTTCGATCGGGATTTTTTCAGCAAAATCAAAAATGTTGAATATCTCAGAAACTAACCACTTTCGGACCAGAGACCTCAGGGCTATTTTTGTAGGAAATTAGTTTTATTATCACCTCCCGAGAGGAATACGCCGAGTTACAAGTCACCTGTATATATTTTATTATATATACAGTTCGCGATCGCCCGCACTCGTTCAATCTCAGTCTCGCCCGCGTACCGGCGTACCGCGTACGGCGCTCTAAAAACTCCGCTGAAGAAGTATTAACCACAATGTAATGTAACGAACAATTTGACGCCTTTTATAGGACAGAATAATTTTTAAGCATGCTGCATTGTATATTAATGACTTACTTCATGGTTAACTCTAGTGAGCGACACGATGAACCTAACAACTGCTTCTTGATCAATCTCAGCCAGTGGCGAGCTCGATGGCGCATTCGCAAGTGCTCGGAGAGTAGGCAGTGTTGCTTTCTGTAATAAACATTTTTTTTGTATCTTAATATGTATTTAGTGATGGTTTAGAAATAAAGCTGATTCTTTATTTGCATGGTCGTAATTGTGATTGCCAAACGACAGGTCTCAGATTCCAACCCTCCATCGAATGTAGTAGTTATTTCTATAAAGTAATTATCTGGTATTACACTTAGGTCTAGCAACAGGTTCGCTCCTTATTATAATCAGTTTTATACTAGTACAAAGTAACGACATATTTTAAAATCTAATATAATATAATTGAATAAGTATAACGAACCTGTATCTGCTCTTGAGCACCATCAACAGTAGTAGGGAACGTTTGGAAGAACACACCAATAGTTTGTCTCAGCATATCTTCATCAACTGTACAAGAAAAATACATTGTTAATTAAATCATTTTCAACGTAATTCATTTTAATAAAGAGCAAATTATTTTATCAAATGAGAATGCAATTTAAACTTATATTAAAACATATAAACCAAGGCATTTTCAACTTAAGACACTAAAGAATACTGTTCAATTAATGAAAATTCTTAAGGTTTATAATTTTTTAATCTTGGCATAAGGAAATATTCTATGGAAATATTTAAGATTCACTAAAATAAATAGGAAATAAGGTTCAATTTAGTATACCTGTGGCTGGATTAAACCAGAGTAGTAATAGTCTGCTGAGTATAGCAGGAGACTCAAGGTGTCCCAGGTGTAGGAGGCGACAGAGACCTTCTACTATGATCAGTCTGTATGCTGAACACTAGAAAAACAAAAAAATGATTAGTAAATGTCTTGTACTGACGGCATGCTTACACTAGATATGGCCAATTTAACCCGCGGTAAGGCCGCGGCGGCGGATACCACCCGCGCGCTTTGCGATCGGTTGGCGGACCATCGCAATGGGAGGCCGGTCTGGAACTCAACTGATTGTTTAACCGCCTGCCCTGTCTTGCGATAATCAACCGCCAAGTTTGCGGGTGATAATCGCAACCGCGGCGGGTACGGGATCACCGGAAACTGAGGCTCGAGAGTTTAAAAATCCTGCCTCCATTCCGGCACTGCGGAGAAGTCTTTGGATGATTTCCCCCAATTAAAAAAAAAAGCGCCACCACGGCGCGCGGCGGGCGCGGGAGAAGATCGCGCCGTAAGTCCTTAGCATAAGATTGGTAGGTTGGGCGATAGTGCAGATTTCTGTAAATATCATAATCTACTTACCGTACTGTCCATAATCTTTAGTAGCAGTTCGATGACCGTGCTGTGCGTCGGGGACATGGAAATAGCCGACTCTGATATATTACCTGCAAGAAAATAAAATAAAACTTTCAAATACTTTAATATATTGCTTAGTTTACATTAAAAACCGCTATGTCGTAAATCGTCGTGAAGTCCTCCGACCTTTGGGGCCGCGGGTGCGTAGAGTGAGGACTCTAGGTGTCCATCCAGTGGCCTCAGGGAAGACGGAAGCACAGTGGTCACGTGCTTTCGTGCAAAGCGATGACCAAGGGACACGCAAGTCTCCATAGGAATGTGCTGTAATAGGCGTTGCACCGTGGGGGCTCCGGAGTCTTCAGAGAACCCGGTGCTCCTTACGTAAGATACGAATCCTACACTCCCTAGTGCTTTTCCCCAAAAAGTTAGGCGCCGTTTGAAGTTTTCCCCCGTCAACAAAAAAAAGGTCGTAAATACTTTAAAACCCCACAAAAACTCACCATCATCATCAATAACACTGGCATGATAGGTGCTTCGTTTCTTGGTAGTGTTGACAGTGGTGTCCTCCTGTATGTCGTCCTCGAACACTCGCGCGCCGTGGACACACAGCAGGTCCACTATACAGCGGAGCACGGTCGACACCGTGCGCTCGTTGGATGTGTCTATTAACTATGGCAAAATTATAAGATTACCTAGGTATATTCAAACTTTTGAAGACATACTAAATTAATTATTAAATGTTTGACGAGAAAGTCGACTAGTTTCACACTACGACACACGCAAACACGCTTATTAGCATCCTTATTAGCAAGTAGCAGTGCGACAATCGCCGCGTCGCGTGTCGGTAAATGCTGAGGTGATGCTGCTCAAGAATATGAGCCTCTAGGATGGCTTGAAACTAGTCACATTCCTCGTTAAACAGTTACGTGAGTAAGCCGAAAACGTAATAATTAAATTATAAGATGGTGGTCAAATTATGTAGGTTTAGAAGCAGAAAATATGTTTAAAGAACTGTCTATCTCATAGTGAAATTTGTTGTAGCGAATTTAAGGGCCAGTGTTATTACTTTCATGTACCTAAGATAATTAATCCGCTAGATAGTACGTAAAGCCAGACCGTGTAAAGTCGGCCATAAGTGTTGCTTATTGTTCCGATTATGTAAAATGTAAAAACAATAATGTTCATGTTCCGTGTTCACTAAACTTCGATGATAATACATTTAGAATGCAGATATTTCATACTCACATTAGCAAAGAAGAATGCCTTATTTTCCTTAGCAAACTCCTTGTCCAGCATTCCGTAGAGAGCCACAGTTTCTAGGGCAGTCTCTACGATTTCTGGGTTTTGGAATATGTCTACCTGAAATTCAATATTCATTGCATTAACTCGTCGAGTACCGGTTTTATAGACACAATTAAAGAACAATAGGTTGCGGTCACCGGTGACCGCTTGGTGTTTGACAGTTTAATATGATGACAACTAATACTAAAGTTTCAATAATTTCAATAGCCTTGTTGGTCGAGTGGTCGCAAGTGCTACAGAAAGAGGTCAACGATCTCAATTCCTGGTTGGCAAAGTAGTATTACAAAGGTACTATTCAGATTTATGAAAATTTGTCAGTCTTATTAAATTGGAATAAACAGATAATTATCGACATTTCTTAACGATTTTATCAAGTGTGATATGTCAGAATTCCTTGTTAATTTGCATAATCATCCTATGCATAATAATAACAGATACTTTATAATATAATCATACCTCAAGCTCGTTGAAGATCATCTGCATCATTGGAGTGACGGACTTGACTTGTGGCGTGTCCAGAGCACTGTTCAGTATTGTCAGACATTTTGTTAACGTCGCAGTGTCTGATAGTTTCTCTTTTATAGTCTGTAAACATATTGGTAAAAGATAATACATAAAGATACATACATATTGGTAAAAGATTATTGATGTGTAAATATATTATTTTATAGCCTACCAGCGGTCTTCGTGAATTTCCCCGTGTCTTCGAAATTAAAGAAGATTCATAACAATAATCCTTACAATAACAAAGCCAATAAAAAAAGAATTACCGAAATCGTTTCAGCTATTCTCGAGATTTGTGCTTACACATTTGACGATTCATTTTTAACTATAAATTTACAGAATTAAATGACATTTCATAGTTTAACTAGATATGTATTTTCATTAAATGTTTATGTTATAATTGTCAGAAAATACGATATTTCTGCGATCATATTTTCAGTTTTAAACGAGTTACTTACCGAAATAGGTGGCGCTGGCGCTGGAGCGGGCGGCTGAATGGATAACTCGTCCAGTTTCTTTTGTATGTCTTCCACCTAAGTTAATAAATAATGTGACTTTAGTATGTACTTCTATGAGGTAGGAAATAAGTTATGGAGGAAGATACCAACTTATACTAGTGTGTCCTTTTCCCACTCACCTTAGCTTTACATTCAGCAGCTAATGCATAGTTCTGCTCCCTGACGGCTTCTTCTTGTGCTTCTATCGCGACGTTCAACGATACTCGAAGTCTGGCCCTCTGATATAAAAATAATAAAAAAGAACTAATTAAAATAAGTCAATATAAAATTACGTCCATGATCGATATGTCATATTATAACGTACTTGAAATATAACAACATAAACATAACATCATACCTTTTATCCCCGAAGGGGTAGGCAAATGTGCGCATTACGGCACTTTATGCCACTGCACAATGTAAAACCCACTTTGCTCTGTTTGTGTTATGAGTCCCATGTTATAGGGGGTGAGCCTATTGCAGTATACCAAGCACTATTCAACACTCTGTGCAACCACTGAGTTTTTTCTTTACAAACCTAGTAATACTTTGCGCGACCTGGTAATCGAACCCGAGATCCCTTGCCCGGCAGTCGCATTTGCGACAACTCAGCCAACGAGGCAGTCAGTTGAAATATAACTAACACAACTAAAACGTAGTTTCACATCATATATTTACCTGACTATAGAAAGGGTATTCTTTTAATGTCGTATGGATTTTGTGTATGGTAAAATCAAATTTTGCATATGAATAGTTCGACTGAATTTGTAACACTCGCCATAACTATGGGCTCTGGTGCGACTTGAAACTGATCGAGTTACTTAGATACCTCCAAAGGAACTGGATTACTGAACTATTTTAGACCTTATTGGCTAAATAATCCCTAACTGACCTGTAACTTAGCCTCAGTACAATCAACGATAGGCGGCGGTAGACACGGCTGTTCAGGTTCAGGCGGGTCGCGCAGAGCTCCAATGACACCGTTGACAACTTCCATACGAGCCGATATTTCAGGCAGTACTAACTCTAAAGCATTCACGAATGCTCGTATCACGTCCGCGTTTAATGGGCCGTAGTCACCTAGAATAAAGATTTATTATGTAGATTGCAGGGCACAATACGTTGGGGCGTAAAGAAATGTATCATTTTCTCGGTAGACGGCAATAGTGCTAGACATCTATTAAAGAATGAATAAACATTAAATAATTTCTAGATTGACGCGCGATAATCGCGGGTTATTCACGTGAATATACTGAAAAAAGCTCTACTAGTTTCGAACCACAGAGGTGTGGTTCAATTATGATAGTTATTATAAAAACCATTTCAATGTATCGAGTTGTAGTCATTGTCAAGAGGATTATTCACAATTTTTTGTATCATTTTTGAGATACATAGTGTTAGTAATGGAAGTTTTTGGGTAGCTCAAATTCTGAATGGTGTTTATGGTATTCATACTAGGTGATTACGTGCTATTTCAGTTTCGTTGATTGTGTTCAGGTATTTTTTAAGTCAAAGTCAAAGCATTTATTTCAATTAAACCATAATTTGGTACTTTTGAAACGTCAGCAAATACAAAATAAATAATAGTCTGTCAGTCAGTCCGTCAGTGAAGCTAGGTGAAGCTAGGTGCTCATTCCAAAATGTAGATTCAAATGGAGAAGAACGAAAAAGAAACTCCATTTGTTACTCTTTTTAAAAAAGTAAGTTTTACAATGTCTCTGATGATGCGTTCTTTACTGTATACGGACCTGTAAGCACATCAGTAATGAGTGTCTGCAGTTCCCCCCTCCCAGTGGGGTCGGTGGCATCGTAGACCCGCAGCATTGTTGCCAGCTCGTGCAGCACGTACTGCCGCGTACTGAACCCTACCGGGTCGTCCGTCTCCACGGGACAGGGGGACTCCACGATACTGCAGATTAAATAACAACAAGTTCTTTAAAATTATGATAGAGTGAGGTAAGACATAAAGGGCTCATTTTTAAATCATCAGTTATTTCTTTACTGTAGAATAAAATTGATATTTGACAGTTATTAGTATGGCAAATATTCAAAGTTATTCTTCTGACAAAATTAACTGAGAATTGAAAAATCGACCCTAAGAATACATTTTTGAGAACCTCTAAAACTTAAAATATTTAACAGATAATATTTTCTAGACAAGGACGAACTACTTCGTAGGGTGAAAGGTAGCATGTGACTGCCGAACCAGAGCCTTTTTTTTTAAGGGGGAAAATCATCAAATGACTGCTCCCGCCCTCAGTGTCAGACTCTTACTGACTAAAAACCACCCCATTCCTTCTCTTAGGTTCTCGTTAGGTTCTTGTAGAACAAGAGCCCTAGGGTCTCCGATACACCTTCCCTTCTATCACCAAACCTCCAAAAGACCTGCATTGCACATCTCACTAACTTGGTGTTGCGGGTGTTCATAGACGACGCTGATTGCTTACCATTAGGTGATCCTTCTTCTGGTCTACCACCTTACACTAGAAAAAACAAAGAAAATGCATACTCACGCTCTAATATATCCAGTAAGCACTACCAAGTCCGGTAAGATAGACTCCAGAGTTTCATCATCGTCTATCTTCTGCAAATGTTCCGCTAGATGCCGCCAGTACCACGCCGTCTCCTTGTTGAGCTTCTCAGCTGGTATTAGACGCAAGTTCTTGTCTGTAGGTAGCCATTCTAGGAGCTCTGATATTGGTAGACGTCTGTAAGAGGTAAAGGGATTATATACTAACGATTTTTATTGTCTTAAGTGGTAGAAAGATGCGTATATCACCTGTACATTGGAGATTTTGTTATGTTGCTAAACTTTTTCAAACATTAGATGGATCCATAGCTAAAGACAGGATGCTATTCTCCGAATCCGTGCTTTGATTGATACTTAGAATTATTATGTACTTTGTTCGGTCAGAACTTGGCAAGTTGTGGCAACTTAAAAAAGCTTAATTATTTTTAGAAAACCTGCCAGAACACATTTATAAGTTTACCCTAAAAATACGTAGCTTAGGTATTACAACTTAATTTTAATGTATAGTACGCCATATTATTAGGTATACAAATTGATTACGAGACGATTCCAGAATTACTGAGAAAAAGAGTTTATAGAAGATACCAAAACATACCAAATAAGTTTGCTAGCTGTAAAAAAGGATAGTCATACAAAAGATTAAAGAGCTTACTTAAACAACGACTCCAGCAGTTTCCCAGCAACATACTGCGAGTCCTTAGCATCGTGTGCGTTGTCCAAACGTATGGCCTTCAGCAGGTCCACAATATTGCCCTGGAAGGTACTCAGCCAGCCTGGGATAAGGATCTCTTCCACTACACGACGAACGCGGACACTGCGCTCGGTGAGACCAACCTGGAAGGCATGATGGTGTTTGTTTTAGTAATGGATTTAATTAAAAGATAACACTGTTCCACAGATTTGGTAAAGTCAGTAATATTAATGTTGGTCATCTATCACTGGTATGGTTCAGATAATTAAACAAAAACAAAGCCAACATTACTGTTCCTGGTAGTAACCAATGACTCTTGATTTGAAGCCCTATGTATGTCCCCTAGATGGGGCAGAAGGCCTTTACCTCTGTGCCTTCACCACCTTCAATTTCGGTTATAACAAATACTAACACATACAGCGTATACTATTATATAAAGCGGAAGAGTTTGTTTTTTTGTTTGTTTGTTTGAACGCGCTAATCTACGTAACTACAAGTCTGATTTGAATAATTCTTTTTGTGTTGGATAGCGCATTTATCGAGGATGGCTATAGGCTATAAAACATCACGCTTCGACCAATAGGAGCTGATCAGAGCATGTAAAACGGCGCGGAAGTAGCTAGTTATTCATGACTAGTATATAACTTTATGTCCTCTTTGGGTATTGTAGACTAATAATTTAAATTCATTATCATCATTATGAAAAGTATTTATCATTCACTGTTAAACAAATACCTCGTCTTAGGCCTAAAAGTTCTAAGATTTGTAAAAATCCATACCTTCAAAGTCAGCACTCTCTGCCGCACCCTGAGCTGTGTGACATTGATGGCGGCGACATAGAGGAAGGCCGCGCGCCGCACCGCCTCGTCCACGTCACACAGACGCTCCAACACGAACGGCACGTTGCGACTGCACTTCGCTATCGACATTACTATTGCCCTGTAATTGATTTTTTATTCTCCTTTATTGTTTTTAAGAGGTTCTTGTCCATATGGATACGTCAACCAACCCATCGTACCTTATCCAATTAAATATACTATATGTAAAAAGTAAATGAAAGGGAATCATTAACAAGGTCTAGATATCAGACAAGTTATGTCACCCTCACCAGTTCACACAACCCACTGTAATTGATAAAAAACAAAATTTTACATAATTTGTTAGTAAATGTTACAAATTTGTCTGCCTCTGCACTTGACAGTGTACAATTCATCCTCATTTAAATGAAAAAATAAATACGTTTATGGACAAAAAGCTTCATATTACATATTTATATGGCTCTAGACCCCACACTAGGATTCCCTGTGATTTAGTTAGGGATTATTATTGGATTGTTGTAAATTTCTATTCAGTCATAGCAATAGTCTGGAGTCACGACTTCGCGTAATAAGCATACTTATTACATGACCAGTGAAAAATGTAAGTACCAAAGTATGTGCACCTCTGCCTAGCCCTTTAGAGCATAAACGCATGACGCTAAAATAATTCCTTACCTTCTAACAGAAGAACTAGGATCACAGCTCATATGAAACCGGTATGCCCTGGTGACTTCATCATCAGGCTCCATGGGGTTCTGCAGTCGCTGCAGAGCGAGCGCCGCGCGACAGCGTACAGCGCCGCGTGTGTCTTGTAGTCTTTGCATCTGTAGCCGAATTATTAGATGTTATCAAGACATACCAAAGTTTATTATTGTTAAGACATGGTTTGTATAAATCATTGGAAACATCAGCAAAGCAACTGGGCAAACATACACTCTCTCTCTGTCTCTCTACTAACTCCATTATAGACCTTATTTCTGATGTTTAGAGACTACTTTTGTATGCACACATTTTGGGGATTTATATCAGGTAATTGTGTACAAGTTAATTATGAAGTTTTGTTAAACTTCTTTAAACAAAATTTATCTTACCAATAACAAATAGACTGGTTGAGTAATAAAACAACATTACCTGTGAGGCCAGCAATTTGTCACAGAGGTCATCGTCCAAAGAGGCATCATCACCCAGAGCTGACAGTACAGCTGCCAGCAGCTGACTAGCTCTGTATCTCACTGACTGACCAGATACACATTGACACTAGAATTACAAGGACAAAGTAATGAGTACAATTTTTATTCATATGATAAATGTGGAATAGTTTTATTTACTTTTCTTTCATATCACACCACAACATTTTTTTTATGGTATGATTTAAAATAGGCACACCATCTATTACATGGATCTCATAACATAAATAGTAAAAAGTGGGTGTTACATTGTACAGTTGCATTAAGTGCCATAATATGTACCTTTGCCGACCCCTTTAGGTATAAAAACCGTGTTACTAAAATTGTGATGTTATGTTACTAAAATCGTCTGTAATGAAATATATTATAAACCAGGGACACAATCAAATCTGCGATTCATACCAAAGTTGTTCCCAGTCATCAAGAACAATGTCACATTACTTAGTTCCTCCAATAGTTCATGATATAACATACATTGTCTAATCAACTGAGTCTAATGATCATGATCATGATGGGATAAAAGCTGTGAAGTTATGTTTGTATGATTTCTGTGTCTGGTAACAGAAGGCTACTTTATTTCGTTAAATCAAGTGGATGAAGCCACAGGTAGAATGCCAAAAGCTCAATAAAACACAACTAGAACCTATAAGTAATTATAATTATTATTCACATTTTTCACAGCATTCCTTGAGCTTTTGATATTAGGTTAAACTAACTTGATCTAGTTTGATCAAATCATCCCAAGTAGAAAACAAATTCTCTCACACATACAATGACAATATTACAATTGCCTACCAAACCACTATTACCTAACTAATTACCTTATGAACCCTAATAACTAAACCTTATGTACTAAATAAATTAAAGAGATAAGTACTTACATCAAAAATTATATTGAATATAAACAGCAAGAACTCTTCCTCATCGTCTAGGGATGTGCAGAAAGTTGCCACAAATTGCACAACTCTGTCCACATTGGCACTGGTATCACCGAACGTAAACAAGTATTGTAAAGCATTCCTGAAGCTCTCTCGAAAACTATCTTCATCAAGCTGTGAATTAAATAAAAGCAGTTTATAATTATATATACCTATCAACAAGAATACTGACTTATTCATGGAAAGTTGATAGTGACTAGTTGAAAGCTTTAGGTGTAACTTTTATTAAGTTTTTCATCACAAATCCACTAAACATTGAGATTCTGAGCACTATTTATACATAACAGACGTATAGTAGTGTTGATAAACTGTCTACAATTCTAATTTGAATGAAAAAACAAGCTAATGTATATTTTTGTTTACAAGTGGGGGAGATATAAACAGCTTGATATAATTTGTTCTTATGATAGATGATATTGCGAGACATACCTTTTTATAAAGTTTTATCATTTCCTTAACATATTTCTTGTGTTGAACCACATTGTATTGCACGTTTTGAAATATTTTGAACATAGTAGGATTGTTCCGAGGGTTTGGTTTTGCCGCCGACACCGGTTGCGGCACCTCGGCGTCCGTTGGAGGCATTTTTCTAATCTAAATAAACCTTACAATGACGTAAAACTGTTATATAGCAAGTATTCGTGTCTTATAATTGAATCTTATTAAGAAATATCGTGCGTTTGTGTAAATTGGCGCCCACGACCGTTTTGTTTTTGAATTTTTGACAACACAACACAAACAACTCGGATTTAAAATGCCAAAGTGACATTTTACAGTGTTGCCAAGTAAGAAAAAACGTTTAAATTACTTGAATAACTAGTTATTTACCGGTTATTTGATGTTATTTACGGTTTTTGAAATACCATTATGATGGCCGTATCTAGAACAGTAGCATGCCATCCATTGATATATTTTGCTGCAGTACTTTTTTGGTTCTGTCATGGTATGAATGCAATGTTCATCATTTTGACAAAGAAAATTATTTTCAAATAATTTAGACAAAAATATTTACTCTTTTACAAGAAGAAACAAAGAATAACTGACTACTACTTAAAAACCTATGGAATACTTAAAATCTAAAAGAATGATTATATTTTATTGTAACGTTATTGGACAACAACTACACGGTGGGACTGGGAATTGAACTCGTAAGAATAAAATAATCATTAGATAATAATTATCTTGTTAACACCTTTACATGTTTCATATAATAGGCATACGTGGACCATTCATTACAAACGTGCGAACTGTTACGTCAAAGGAATGTGACAATGTTGTACAACCATGGAAGTAATAAATAGGTACTTAGTACGTTCAATACTTAATTATAGTACTTAATATTACTTCCATGCGCACAACTCGTCGCGGAGAACTTTGTCGCGGAGAACCTGACGGGTAACCGGGGCTCCGGCTCGACGTTTACGAGAAGGAACGGGGTGGTTTTTAGTCAGTAAGAGTCTGACACTCCCTTCTGCCTCACCCAGACATGAGTAGTTTTCCGATGATTTTCCCCCATTAAAAAAAATGCGCACAACTCGCATAAGTGTGAACGAGAGATCTGATAAAAATTATTTATGACAGTTCAAACGTTTGTAACGGCCGAACTAAGTATTATTATTATAGTTAGTTTCTATAAGGGCAAAAATAGAACGCAATAGTATTATGTAAAAGTTTATTGTGCCGTTTGATAATACAATAGTATAGGTACTTTATAAATAATAATTATTAACTTAAAAATATTATGTACAAATCACATGATAGCAATAATGAGTGAAACATAGTGGCTAGGAAGATTACTTTCATTGTTAACATTAAAAATTAAAATTAAGTACTTAAAAATTAAGAAAATCATTAAAATTTTGATAAATTACAAACGTTTTAGCAGAGAATTGTTTACAGTTAAGTATAATTTGGCAAATAATAATTATTTAAGTATTAAAAAGCTTTAGAAAACAGTAAATTATTATTAACGATGATGATAAGGAATAGTCAAGATAGAAAATATTTTGACTATCTACAAAAAATATGAAATTATGTATTTATTGTACTATCTAAGTCGAACTGTTGCAAATTATAAATTAGACATTGAAAGACATTTCAGTACGATATTCAAAAATGATTATTACAACAATTAGACCAACGAGAAAATTCTTATAGTCTTCATGACGAAAGTAAGTGTTTGTTTAGATCAAAATTTGAGATTCATAGATATAAAATTGAGGGCATTTTCCGATCGAATCGAGACGTAATCAAATGAGTAAAATATTGATTATAGCATCATAAAACGATTCGACTAATCTTATCGAATGAATACAACGTACGACCGTTGAACGATAACAATGACCTAAGACAATCTGTTATTTATTAAAAAATCTGTCTGCTGTTGGATATCTGAGGTCGGATAAGATGTGATTAGACGATAGCCGATAGAAATAATTGAGTTTAACCGCCTGAAGATAAAACAGTACGTTACCTAATGTCATTGTCATCGACAGGGATAGAGAAATAGTGTGTTGCTAGTTTTACAAAATAATTTTCCAAGACACTACGTACTATAAAGTCAAATTCATAAATAGGTGCTTCAAGACTATATAGTAACAATTCGGCCAATTTACCGAACTGCTCAAGAAGTAAACACCATTATACATAGGTCTATGTAGGAACCACCGCACTGCTATACTTTTGTGGCTAGCAACACAATACAACGCCATCTCTGGATGATATCATAGAACTAATTATTTTGAAGAGTTGATATTCGCATCGCATAGAATTACTCCAGATCATCAATAAGAGAGTCCAGTTCTTTTTGCAATGTGACGGATTCTTCTCTCTGTTTCAATACATCGTCCTTCAAACGGTCCACGTTGGCCATCAGGAGAGCGTTGCCCTTCTTCAGCGCGTGAACCCTAGTCTCGTGACGTTTTACCCTCTTTGTGAGATTCTCTTTCTTATTTGGTAATGGAGCATCCTGGAAAATAATAATTTGATTTATTAGGTACATTATATGACAGTTAGGTACCTTATTGGTAACTGCGGCTATGGACTTTAAGTTCGTCAGCAAGAAACTTAAATAATGGTAGGCAAATCTATGACTGTAGACGTATGTGGGGTCAGATCCAATACCAACAGGATTTAAGGACATTTGGAGGATTTGAGTGCTTTTGGAGAACAAACTCGTACTAAGCATAAACTAAGTGCTAAGCGTACTTTGCATTAAAACTTTCTATACCTCTAGGTACAGTCAGTGAGACTATCATCACTTTTTGAAAATAATCCATTTGCACTTTTAGATCAACTTATAGACGATACGACATTCTGGCTTAGGCCAATAAAATTGTAGTAGTGTAAATTCGGTACATAGAAAATATTAAAAAATTAAATAGTAGGTGTTATATTTTTACCCCTGGGTACGCGAGCAAAGCCGCTGTCAGGAGCTAGTAACATAATAAGAATCGAAACTCACCTCCGGTTCACTTTCGCTCTCTGTCTCACTCTCAGTGTCTTGTTCTGTTTCAGTCTCGGTTTCTTCTTCTTCTGATTCTGATTTCTTCTCTTCTTCAGACTCTTCCTCCTCCTCCTCATCATCTTCATCATCTGATCCGCATTCCTTCATCATAGCGGCCATCTTGTCGACTTCGCGTTTCAGCTCCTTGTACTTTCGCTTTTCCTCCCTAATTTTTGAAAAAAGCCATTATTAATTAAATTCCAGTTTATACATCGATGGTTTTGATGCTCGAGGATTAGGAGTTTTGGTTGTTAATTATAGAAAAATTAGGACGGTGTAAATGATAAATATCGTGGAAAAACCTGATTAAGTACCCACGTAATCATTTGTCGGAGCGTATTTATAAGGCGTGTTGGATACTGTTTGTCAATTATGTGTTCATTGTTGGTGTAGGTAAGTGATAGAAGTAAATTTATTATATTTTATTTTATTTTATTAGATTTATTTGTATAAATAAGTAAGAATAAAATATTCCAAATTCATATTGGGGATTTGATCAGTGAGGATTATGAAAAATTCTCAACATTGTTTTCAATGGAGCTAACCAAAATTATATTAAATGGGTTAAGCATTTCTAACGTGGGCTATGTAAACATTGGATGTCAAATAGAAAAATTGAAAACTATTTCTAAACATCTTTAAGGTAAGTATTATATAATATTATGCACGCACATCAAAATCGTTGATATAACAAACAATAACAGATAAGAATTTGAAGGAAAATAATAAACTCGCGATAATAATTTTGGCTATCTTTACTATCGTGGATAATACTATAAATTCGATTGGAGATAACAACTTAGATTATCGCAATTGAAGTAATTTTACACGAGGTGAAACGGTTCAAGAATTTGATGTGTTGCGAAAACAATCAGGAAACGAAAAGTGTAGATAAACAAGGAAGAAATGATAACAATTGGAGTTGAAATGATTTGCATGTCGTTAGCTTACACATGTTTCGAATTAACCACTTTAAGGACAGATGAACACCACGATAGATTTGTTTAAGGCCATAGCATCGATAAATACTGCAAATCTTCATGACTACCTATTGATTATGCAATACCACGGAAGTGTTGGAATGGTATATATTCAGGAGCTTCTCGTAGTCGAGTCAAAAGTAAAAACACACCAGTTAGTGTTTATTTTTAAGACCTTCCTTATATGTTTTATTTTATTCATAATACAGTTGGAGGACCTATGGAAATAGGACACGGACAAGAAGCTTTTGGGTGAGTTATAGTCATTAATAAGATACCAATAAGTTTGAGGTGGTGGTGCATATGCTTAGCTAGCACTTAATAGAAATGGGTTTTTTTCTTGTTCTTTGGTCTTAGCCGAAGGTACTTACTTTAGTGCCGCCTGTTGGTTCTTCAGTGACATCTTGAAGCCCATTCGCTCTCGTTTCATGTGGTCTTGCTTCTCCTTCAAGTACCGGATCTTGTTTCTCATATTGCGGACTTCCTTTTCCAATCTCTTCTGTTTCTTTTCCTCGCTTTCCTCCTGGAATGTTGTAGTAGTGATATATTAGAAATTTGTTTAGATTTTTTCTGCTCTAAATTTTATATATTCTTTAAATAATTTCGTTAAGGAATAACTTAAGGACATGTGTACTTAATTTTAAAACCCTATTGTATTTCTTCTGATTTGTAATCAAAAGGTGGTTAGAATATTTGCTATTTTTAATGATATATCTTCGTAGTAGGTATCTACTGTTCTTTCAATTTTTTTTCTATCTTACGCAATATGTCGATCATGTCCTGTCCTATTCCTAGATACATTTCTTAATAGATTTCATTTCTGATTAATCACTATTCATTTCAAGAACAACAGAAGCTTCAATTACCTCTTCCTCATCAGATTCCTCTTCCTCCTCGAAGCTATCATCCTTGGTGACGGACAGCTGCTTGATGGCGTGGCTCGAGCGTCGTGAACCCATGCTCGTTGGCATGATGCCCTGTAATTATTGCGTATAATGTTGTACATAGATGTATTTCATACAAATTATTTTATGACTCATATTAATATAGGTAGTATGAGTGTAAATAATTAATTTAGGAACATGATTAGATGAAGAATGATGACACAGAATAGTGACTATAATGTTGGTAAACAATGAATTTCTGCTTAGTGGTTCGTATTATTGAATGACGATGAAATTTTATTTGAACAGGCAAAACTAGACCATCTTCATCTTTATCATCAGCTTAATAAAGGTGATTTTAGACATCCGTATAAATTGATAAAATATCATTATTATCATAAAGCCATACCTCGTCAGCAGCTATGTTAGTATAAGCGTCAGCATTAGTTTTAGCAATATTGTTATTGTTAGCGTCAAGTTTCCTTTTCATTAACGCTTCGGCTTCAGGCGAATTTATTTCAATATTCAACAACTTGCATTCTTTAGCGAAATCAAGTTGTCGTTTTTGGTAAAATGACATAGGTTCTTCAGATAAATCTTCTAGCTCACCCTGGAAATTGTTAGTGTAAGCGTTAAACAGGCATTTGGTACCTATAAAAGTTTTTGGAACACATAACCGTCCCAATAAAAAATATGTTGTAAAACAAGATTAATTTATTATTTCCTATTTGAAGTATTTTGACTTCAGCATTAAAGTAAAGATTATAACGATCACTTACCGACATAGCTTGTTCCAGCTTCTTTTCTAATTCTGCATTCCTTCTCTTGACTTCTTCCAACTCTGTGAGTGCAGTGTCCCTATCTTCTGCGGCTTGTAAGTATTGTTTCTCCAAATTATCAGCATTTTCTTTAGTCTTCTCTACTTCCATCTTTAGGTTATTTACTAGTCTTTCATCGTAGGCATCAGTGACGGAGATCACAGTCTTGTGTTGTTCCTGTTTGATGAATGCTCTTTCTCTTGCTAACTCTGCTTCTAAGTTTGCTATCCTTGTCAGAAGTCGCTTATTTTCTCTCTCTTGAGCCTCCTTGTTCCTGTAAAGTGTATAAATGTTTGGTTATAGTATTTTATTGCCTAATTTGATTATTATTTTATGATGTACCCATGACTCCTTCCTTCCTTTTTCTGTACGTTATAGTTATATACTGTATTCTTCTATTATTATTATTACTATTATATCTTAGACTTATTTCGCTAGCAACGCCTTCAGGTTATCAAGTGGCAATGGTATTGCAATACATTTTGCAATGATTAAGTTTTCCTTACCTCAGTTCAATAGCCAGCAACTGCTTTGTAGACTGCAGATCATCTCTGACCTTGTCGATGTCGTCCATTTCATCGATGTCTTCCTCTTCAGGGGGCAAGACACCAGGTATCTAAAATTCATAGCATATTTTTTTAATAACTTTTATTCGTATCATACCTACATATGCATTGATAGACGTCGCCAACCATGTTCATCATTTACTTTTACTGGTTTATATACTCTTTCAATTTCCCATTCGTTACAAAAATTTTAACTATCTGGTGTGTTTTTAGCAGTGGGTCCCAAAGCTGTATGGACTACGACCGATCTAAATCAAGTTCCGTAACTCAGCACCTATCTTTAGAGAATTAAACCGTTACCATGAAAAACACAATACAGTACGGTTGGTTGGTGTGTCTTTCTACAAACAAGGCTCACTATAGATTCGCTTGCGACTCACTACAGGGTCGCGTGTCGTTTATAGAGTAATAAAACTGTGAGATTTATAACTAAGTAGTAGTAAGCCACTCTTGACTATAAATAACAAAGGAAAAGACCAACAAGTACCTAAATCATCTATAAGGTTCTAGTATTGGTTAAAAGTAATGTGTTTACTTACATGTGAGTTACTAGCCTCAGCTGCAGCCAGGCCGACTCCAGACGGTGACGCAGCCAGATTAGCTTGCGACATACTCTTCTGTACTTGCTCCTCAATTGTCATCTGTCTTCTGAACTTCCTCAAACCTTCCAAATTTGGTTTACTCCTGTCATTGGTCTTTGTCTTCTTTAATTTAATTCCCTTTGAGATCTCTTTAAGCAAAGCATTGTGTGAGTTCGGCTTTTCTGATTCGAATATGAACTGTCCTTTGTTCTTCACCACTGCTGATCTGGCGATGATCGGACTTGACCTGGAATTTGATGGTTGTACTGTTATTCATTGTATTAAGTTTTAGGCTATTGTAATCAGAATTAGTTATGTCTTATTTGCGCGCTTCAGAAAGAGTTATTCACTGCTATGTCCATTGGCTATTTTTTTTAGTTATCATGTTTGCGATTATTAATGCGTAATGCTAATCTCTTATTATCTTTATATTGTTATTGCACCACCGAATTATTCGTTGCTAAATCTTTAATCTGGTTATCAACTTATATTGCAAACAGCTATAGGTATTGTAAAAATAATTGCACAATACAAAAGTGTTTGCTTATTGCAACAACAATTTGTGCAATCATTGAAGAATTGCCTATGATCCCGGAAGGAGTGGCGGCTGCTGTTATTATACAGTATATACACAGGAAGAACAAGGGATAGGCCTATGGCATAGAACTCTACTTTTGACCCAATAATCGACACAAAATTCCAGACGTCGTGCTTGGCAGTCACGCTTGCACACACTTACTTAATCAATCAAAATTTAATCCTATAAATATTATAAATTCGATAGTTTGTAAGGACGTATGTATGTGTATTTGTAACTCTTGCACTTAAAAACTAATAGTCAGATTAAGATGAAATTTGGAACAGAAGTAGACTATGATCTGGTACATATAGGCTACTTACTTTATAACCCTCAGGAACGCGAAGCCACCGGCTGAAGCCAGTAAGTATAATTATGAAATCTTGCTGCTAGTGAAATTTTGCTTACCTGTCATTACAAACAACATGTTTCAACTTCTTTCCCTGCTCCACTTCCTTCATCATGTCTGACCAGTCTGGTCTCCTCCTAGGCCTGCTGCGGAGCTGTTCGATCCTCTTCAGTTTATCAGGGTCCAAAGGTGACTTTTTGAACTCTGGTGGCGGGGGCATCTTAGGCGGCATAGGCGGTGGCATCGGTGGTGGTGTGGGCTTCAGTAAACCTTTTTGAAGCAATGTGTAGGTATTGGTTAAGTAGGTGAAACATTTTTGATGGACAAAGATTAGATGTGAATGAAATACATTACATTATTATTATTACACTATCGTAAACAAATATAGGTCTGTACCTATGAATGCAATGAAGATGTATCTGTATACATCTTCATTGCATTTAAGTATGTTATTTTGATTATTTTTCCAAGCGAAGTGCTTTCTTATAGACAATTAGTATTTTGCATAGACATTTAATATCTGTTAAAATTTAAGATAAAGTACAAAAATTTTGATCAGAATTTTGATCCTGACTCCTGTAGTCACATTTAGCGAACAAAAATCACCTTTAAACAAATTTCCCTGTGGATCCTCTTCTGTATCAGCCATTTTTAACTAATTCACTGAACACTTCTTAAAGAATACACTTAAAAACTATCTAACTACATAAATTATATCACAATTCTCAAAACACAACACAACACGGGATAGTTCGGGATAGACGCGCTTTGCAGTAAGTGTGCATGTTAACTAAAGTCTGGGTGCATTTACACCTGATCAGCGCACGCGACGTATGCGGAACTGCACGGTACTATTTTGGACCGCATTTAGACCACAAATTAGACGGACACACAAGAGATCAAAAGGTAACGATGTGGTTAGGATGCAACACTCGAGAGGGACATATAAATGTGTATTAGTGAGTGTTGAGATTGAAATGGAACCATTAAAAAGCTGAAATATGAGCAAGCCAAATCTCTTCAGAAATGTATAATGGCAAACTACATAAATGTCGCAAATCTCAAAGTTTGACAAAGATGTCCACAACGAAAGATTAATTTGTGTGCTGTGTGTTTTCATACTAGTTATGAATTCCATAGTTCCCTCTTCACTGGGGGTGATAAGCAAGACATAATGGAGACATATGATGTTTGTGATAACATCTACAAAATATTGCGTAGGTTTTTGAAGAAGAAAAGTTTGAAGTCTGTCTAGACTACATTTCGGTGACATAGAGACGAGGATCAAATTGAGGTTCAAAAGTTCCACAACTTAAAAAAATCGATCAAGCATTTTAGAAATATGGAATTACCATTTCAATCAGTCAATGACTTTTACAGGTTCTGTATTAAAATGGAAAACGCAAAAGGCTATACCAAAAACTAAGACTGAAGATATAATCATATCTGAAAACAATAATCTCATAGGTATCAGACATTGCGCAGTGCCAACGTCGATACAGATTGATGTCACAGCTAGCGATCGAATGTGATCCAATAATCTATTAATATTCAAGAAAGCAGGCACTACTGTGTCAATGTTGATGTCACAACCAAGCAAAAAGAGAACTTTCTTTGTCATTCTATTCTAGATCCAATTGAGTCATGAACTAGGTACTAATTTCTATATTAATAGATTTGATACGATCTTTGTTAATTATTTTCTTAAGATCGTTTCTTAGTCTGAAAATAGACATTGATTAGGAAGGTATAGATAAAGTTGTTTGTCCTGATAAGTACAAAATAATTGTTAAAAATTATTAGAATTTATTTTGGTTTCATTGATTGTTCTCTGTGACAAATTGGTCCTTTTGAAACCGTAATATTGACACGATGATTTTAATCTCGGAATGATGATGAACCTAGATCAATTATATTGTAAAAATTTGGAGTTACAAAACAATGTACTGGGGCCTGCATGCATACCTACATAACCAACCATAGTAGAATTTAATTAGCCAGAGTGTGGATAGATCTGACAAAGAAGAAGCGGGCTACCAGGCTTAACCAAATAGAGGAAAATTAAAGAGTAATAGCTTTTCTGCAATCAATACCTTACTTTCTGATGAATAAAATAGAACTTTAAATAATACTTACTTCTCAAGCTCTCATTCTTGGTGAGTGTGTGACCCTTAGGCACCTCATTGTTGAGGGTTTTGTCAATGTTTTCCTTGACACGCTCATGCAGGGGGTCCCGCCATTTCTTGACAGGTACGTCATCCTTTGACGGTTGCTTTTGAATCGGTGGTTTGCGTGGTGGGAGCTGGAAACCAAAATATGTTAATATTTTAACAAAGGAGTTAAGGAAGATATAAACTGTTATTGTGTTTCAGAAAAAATTGGATATCTATTTACGGTCAAACAAAACTATGAATAGAATAGAAAAAAGGAACAGAAAAAAATCTTGTTAAGGGAGACTGTTAGGGAAATTAATACAAATTCAACGCAAATTAATAAAAATAGGTAGGTAGGTAGTAGGTATTTAGATAAAGTTAAGTCATAAGATAAAGGCACTCAAAATATTATTCCATTACCTTTGAAGGCGTCTTCTCTAGCGGTGGTTTAGTGGCCATATCTGAGCTTTCTGATTTTTCTACAGCTTTCTCAGAAGCTTTCGGCTCAGATTTTGAGACCGGTGGCTTGGGTTCTGGCTTCGCAGGCGCAGGTTTAGACTCCTGTTTTGCAGGCGTTGGTTTAGGTTCCTCTTTAGGAGGTATCGGTTTAGGTTCAACCTTTTCAACAGGTTTTAATACTACCTTTTCAGGGGCTTTTGGAATTGGTTTCTCAGCTGCCTTAGGTGCAGGTTTATCATTAACTACCTTTGTTATAGGTTTAGTATCTTTGCTCGTAACCTTATTATTAGTCACTGGTTTGTCATTTACCGTGCTATTTGCTTTGGTGGGACCATTTTTCTCTGGTCTTTTATCTACTATAGTCACAGACTTTTCTTTAGCTTTGTCGTCTATAGTTCTAACACTTCTTAGAGTTGGTCTATCTGTTTTATCGTTAGAGGGTTTGTCCTCTGATTTTAAAGCGCTTTTAAGTGCAGGTTTAGTGAATTTTGGTTTTTCATCGGCTGGTTTCGCTGCCTGATCGGCTTGTTTCGCTGCTGAAGGCTTGACTAGCTTTTCTTCAACGGGCTGTGTCACTCCGTTTTCTGGTTTGTCTCTGATCGTTGACTGCTTTTTCAATACAGCTGTAATTTTAATAAGCGTTTGGTTAATGGTACAGTTCATTAAAAATATCACATACATATACTATTTTAACACTGATGCAACAGTATTTCGATGTGTTCCATTATAATGAAAACTTTTTGTCGTAAATTTAACTAAATAGAATATAAAAAGATCAATTTCCTTCTAAGACAGTCTCTATTTTAACGCTAATCGCTAATTAGCAGTAATTAGCAAAATGTCTACCAACAATTTACTTAATGTGAATTCCTGAAAGCTGAAAAGCTAAAACATGAAGCACGAACAGTGAAATTGATTGTAGCACGTGTTTCGGCCCCGACGCGGTGCAGTTTGATGGCATTCGCGGACGTAAATAAACATGGCGTTTGCCAAGATGGCCGACCTTCGCTATTTTAGCGCGATTACATGTCAAATTCCCTATTAGATGGCCAAGCAAAAATATAGGCTCGGTATTTTACTAAATGATGAGAATTTGGGATACGTTAAGTAGATTGTTCAGTTTATTACAGTCGCCAAAATATTCTTGGCGCCAACTACCTACGTGATAAACATTTTATAATTGGTATTTACAAACTGAATATTCTTCTTTGTTGTACCTACTACCGAATGTTGCATTAAGTGCTATTTATTTTCACAAAAGCATCTACATTATGATAATTGGCATACTAACAGCCGGTTATTTCTTCGAATTCTTGTTTACATCGTAAGTAAGCGACTGCTAGTAATTTGAACAGTTAGAAGATGCATTGCATTTTAAAATTAGCATTCTCTTATGGTTTTAAATTACGCATTAACATAGCGTTCTTATAAATCAGCGGCTAACCCCAACATCGCCGTTTATTTTGTAAAAAGTCTCCTCTCTAAAAATATCGCGGATGGCGGCGTCGTCTCTCGAAATATCTTCTAAACATCGTCGACTTTGAACACGTCACGTTTCAAACGACCGCACAAGCTTTTTCAATTCCATTTTATTTAAAAATTGTGATTAATATCTCTGTTTTTATAAAAATGTCGTTTATATTTTAGAAAATAATAAAATAAAGTAAAAACGGTTCTCTTTTGCAACCAAAAGCTTTCGGATTTCCTCGACCAAATGTCTGGCTACGAATGTTTAAATTGTCTTTTTTTTTCGTTTTAATAATAAGATTACACGGAGACGCTTTGAAAAAATCCATTGTTTATTTTATGACGTTGTCTAGCGACGTTTCTTTAACTCGATGCTGGCAGGAAATATTCAGATCATTAAAACGTAATACCCGATTTTATAGCGCTGTCCAATACTGAAAGCTTTTTATTTTCAGTGGCACGAACTTTATTGCACGGTCATGTAAACATATGAAAATTTGCATACAGGAACTAAAATGGGGATATTGATTTACCGTTTTATGTGCACACTATAATGATTTTGGTCTGATCACTAGAGACACGTTTCCACTGGTTATTGCACTGGTAATATTCGACCGAAATTCGGAATTATACTGTTGAGAAACGCGTGGTTCTCGACGAACGAACACGTCACTCGCTCCCGAACTCCAGACTAAGAAACTTGTGAACGATTTCGGAGAGTCAATTATTCAGAGCCCGTGTCTCCTGCCAAAGTTTCGGTCAGGTGGTTGACGTCACCGTGTGCTTATACATATGTAACAAACACATAAATAAACAGTCACAAATATTGTGCACTGCGCGTGAAATATTGCTTTCACGTTGTAGCGTCGGAAAAAACACGCGGTAGCGGAAATGAGCGAGACTTTAAAAAGATCATATCTACTGCGTGGGATAATTAAAGTCCTTGATGTACCGTTGCTTCCTGTCGTAGGATCAGACGAGTGTAAATAGTAGCGGAAGATCAAGCTTTTATGATCTTCGCAATGGACTGGACGCTGAGAAAGTCGTAAGGTAGTAAACGTTTACTAACAATGATCAATGCAAATTAGTGTTTCTGTAATTTCCATTTTCAGTCTTAACCTCTCGCGTGTTTCTCGTACACACGGGTGTACGAGAGAGTTTAGTGCCCATCGCGCAATTGTAACACACGGGTGTACGAGGAACGCGCATCGATTGGATATTTTTTCTGTGACGTATATTTTCAAGTTTGCAACCCGTTCTTTATTTGATTGAACAGAATAGTTAATTCACTTTTCTATTAAAATATTTTACTTTATTTCATAAATTAAATTGAAGGTTTGTATGTGTTAAGTACCCACATCACCAGAGGATATGAAGTGCATAACCGAAAAATGATTTTGTTCGATTTTGGAAAGGAAAAATTCATAGGAGGGTAGATAGCTAATTTTTATTTTAATGTCCGTCTGGTAGATGATTTAAAAACATTAAACATGTAATTTTTATTTCCTTACGGAAACGAATAGTTTTGAAGATATATTGATTTGAAATATCGCATGACGTCACTTCACTCCTAAACTTTGATTCGTTTTATCTAAGTATTGTTTTCTTATACGACAAAATAAAAAATAGGTGTTTAATATTTTTTCATTACGTACCTAACTGACAGATTTTTAATTACCCTGTCATCATCCCTATTACATTATTAACTGTTAATAGATAACCTTCCTATCCATTAAAGTTAAAACACAAAACAGAATCAGCTGCTGATGTTCAACAGTGCGATATAAACTAAATCAAACAATTTTGTTTGCAGACGCTACTAGAGGCGGATGTGACGTCACTTAAGGCGCCAAATACATGTTGTGGCGCGAAATATAAAGAAAAGATTTTCCATGTTTTACAAATGTGTTGACATCGTGGGTGACAAGAAAATGCTCTTGAATGTGATCCTACGAAATGAATAGAGGGATCATTTGTTATTATCACTTTTGCTGCCGATAGAAGATAACCTAGATAACAAAGTAAATGACTATGATATTAAATATTTGTTACCATTTATGTTATGAGTCTCACATACTCGTTTTTTTACAAAAAACATTGCCCCACACTAGAATTTTTCTATGTCGTGTGACTGCATACACATGACACTCTGAATCGAAACAACAATTTGTGGATCACACAAAGAGTTGTTCCGTGCGGGAATCCAACCAACATATTGACATATAATCCAACATATTGCGCGGCATCCAGTTGCACAGCCACCGCGCCTCGAGTACGACTGCACCATACTCGTAGTAGGGTAAGACTTTTGCTATACCTACACTATCATTCAGAATAAAAGATTAGAAAAGCAATGAGCATGAAGCTCAGTGCCGCACTCCATCACATTACTAAAAGCGGGCAATTTACTACTAATACATATTCTGCTTACTCCTTCTGGAAATAAAAGGTGGATTTTAAGTGTGGGAGAGCCATGCTTCGGCACGCATGGGCCGTCTTGACCGGCGTGATACCGAAGCAACGCTTGCGATGTGTTTCTTCGCGTGAGGTTACCGAAGGCCCAATTACCTTGTTCAATCTCCCAAATCCCTGAATCCACAACGATCCTCAAATTCATAATCCCCAAAAGGCCGGTAACGCACTTGTAAAGCCTCTGGTCTGGTGTCCATGGGCGACGCCGATTGCTTACCATCAGGTGAACCGTCTGCTCGTTTATCGGCTTATGTCATAAAAAAAACATACGATATTCTGTGACATAAGTACACACACACTGTGTACCAAGTTCCAATGTCAGTATGCGTCCAAGGAAGTTCAAAGACCAGTCTTTGGTTCATCGGTTATTAAAATTCCTTATTGGAAACTCAACCATCAATTAAAATATTATACCTAATGACGTTTTACGATTCCACACAGGAAATAGCCAATACGATAACACATCGATATCTCTAATCACTATATCTCTAATTGCTGCAAAATTCGTATCTGGTAGGGAGATTTGATTATTTTATTAATGTCATCATGTGATGAATGTGATCGCGTTAGGCAAAAAAGAAATAAAAATAGGTAGGTACGTATTAAACATCGCACCGTGACCTATAGTGCCTTTATGTGCTCCAAGGGGCTATACAAATATGCATATAAAGAATTAAGTCTATGCTATGTTCGGATATGCAGGTAATCAGTAATTTTAGGATTTGTATTTTTTTGAAGGGGGAAAAATCATCGAATGACTTCTCTGAAGGAGGGAGTGTCAGACTCTTACTGACTAAAAACCTGTTCCTACTCCTTCGAGCCGTAGCCCAGGCAACCCGTTAGGTCATCGGCATCAGCCCTATTGGGCTCTATTTGTGGTTGTCTGATAGCTCTTTAAGGTGCGCGCACAATGCGACGCACCGTACGCTCGGGCTTGGTTCTGGTCGGGCGGCGAGCTACCCATGCTCGCTGTCCAGTAATTTTCGGCTTGGAATAACGAATTTATAAAACTGAAGGACGTGGACCTGACTTAGTTAGTCTATTAGAGTAACTATAGTTATTTGATATGTTATAAGCATAATATTAGGATTTAAAATGCATAGATTGCCTTTTCTACCTACATTTTTCCCTAAAAATATTGTAGAAGTTGTCTGCACACTAAGAACAATTCCATGCTTCGTACTAGTGAGAATTTTGGTATTGAAAAATCTAATAATATACCATATCCGGATCGTAACACGAGACTGAATGGTACTATTTTAGAATGAGTACCTACAATTTTATTTTTGACAAAGCCAACATCCGTAATCTTTCACTGAATCCCATCTCTAGTTTGTAGGGGTTACCTTAACGAATTACTTACTAGTTTATCTACTATGTCTAATATAAACAGTAATTTTTAACCATATACGTTCTCTTATAATCATTACCTAATCATAACCCTGACTGCGACTTTGAGGTTGTCATGTTAATAATACGTCTCTATCCGCTTCAAGTGCAAAGCTTAGGATGTGTTCAGACTACGACATACGATAATATCACTTTTAGGGACATCGTACGTCGCGGAGAACCTAACGGGTTACCGGGGCTCCGGTTTGATGTGCAGGTGTAGGAACGGTGTGGTTTTTAGTCAGTAAGAGTCTGATACTTCCTCCCGCCTCAACCAGGCGGGAGCAGTAAATCGATGATTTTTCCCGCTTTAAAAAAAAAAGGGACATCGCACACAATAACGGCATGGATACGACACGGCTGCGGCACGGCGTTCTTTGCTTTAGAAACGATGTAAGGCTGTAAACGCGCTGTTCACACTAGAACCGCGCTTATCCATAATTTTAAAATCAAAAGTTAGGTAACTTAGTTACTAATTAATTACTTATGTTCGGATAGTTAAAGGTTTCCTATTACCGCTAAGTTAGCCTTGAAGGTCCTATTAGTCGTTATGACCGTAGCATCTTAATGAAATAAAACTCTAAAGCAGCGATTATTAAAAAAAAATTCTGCGTCCACTAAATTTCAAAACTTTAGAAGACCCTCAATGAAACTGGAGAGTTCGTGTCAGAACTAATAATTAAGTAATAATTATTATTAGACTGATGCGGAAAGCAGTACTTCTGGACACGGCGCGTATTGTCCGGAAATTCCTTTCTCTTGAGCCCTGACCACCGGTAGCTTGGATTTCTTCCGTTACTGGTGGGCTACTGCTTTTTATATTATTGAATATTTTTTTTTATCTAATCAAATATTTAAACATATATAAATCAAGTATAGAAATAAAAAATGGAAATTATTAGACTTAAAATCAAAACTGGCTACAAAATGTATCACTTACAAGTGGTGTTGGTCTACACCAATCTGTACTGGCTCTTAGTTCCAATTAGTAACAGTTAGCGCACCATATCCAATCTGTTTGGAAGTTTGCCTACTCGTGACTGTCGTGAACAATAAATGTAGGCCAAAGTTCCATTGCTACTATGAAAAGAGCTTCCGATAAAAATCCGAAACATTTCGTCTTCCGCGTTTATGTAAAAAATTCAAAGATTTCGTTTTATTTTCGTTTGAGTAAACAAAATGTTGACTTGAAAATTGTCGAAATAGACAAAGTTTCAAAAAACGGGCGCCAAACAATGATTAATGTTCCGCTGTGTGAGTGAGGTTAGGGAGTCCCGTCTGTTAAGAAAGTATTGCCGTTAAAGTCGAATCAGAATTAAATTAGGCCAGTCAAGATCTTCACTTTAGGTTACGCAGAAATACTCAAACACTACTCAAACTTAAGTCGCGCTGAAGAATAGTTCTGTCTCTACAAATTCTTTGTAAAACGACAGAGATGGCACGATATTTAAGACAACTTACAATTGAGTAACCTTACAGTATTCGGGCGTTAATCTAACAGAAAACGTGGCAGCAAGTCACGGGATGAGATGAATGCTAATACTGATATTATCTTTATTAAAGCGTGGGATGAACACATACGTCGCTAGATATACGCCGTTGTTATGTTTATATTTTGTTCTAATATACGTCAGATGGAAGGAACTGGAGTAAAAATACGATTCTTACGTTTTTTGGAGGTCGAATTAAAGTCTGACATAAATAGGAATTAGCTAAGTGGCCGTTCATTCAATCGCTTGCTTTTAGTGAATTTATTCATGAATTCTAGATGAAACGTTTCGTTTTCTTAATAGGGTGATAAATTCTTTAATTTGGATAACACGTTTATATTATTATACTAGCTTTTTCAGCAGCTTCAAGGCGTTCCCGTAAGATAAAAAGTATATATATGCCTATATGTCATTTCAGACCATATCATCTACCTCTGTTTTAAATTTGATTTCAGCCGTTCTGGCGTGGAGGAGTTACAGACAAATATACTTTTGTATTTATAATACTAGTAAGATAAGATAGTAAGCAGTTTACACCTTTATTCTTCTTTTGCCAGTTTTATTGTTTTATATTTACCATATTATTATTTTAATTAATTATATAGGAAAACTTAATATTACCGTCAGTACGATTCCGGTATTAACCGAAATTGCACATTTTGGCAGTGTGACATAGATACAAAAATTGGCGCCGCCAGAATCAATGACAGGAAATCATAAATTGTTAATAATCAAGTAAATGTTACAGAAATATTTTATAAAATGCATTTTATAAATGGGTTAGGCTCCATTAACTTAGATGTACACAAAGCACCGCTAATTAGTTGCAGCGCTACACATCGACACAACTGTCATTTACACAGTGTACATGTGTGCGTAATTTCATATAACTGTATATAAAAATATTCGTCCACCACGTTCACATTGGTATTTTCATTCTTGTGTCGGTATACGTATTTTTATAATTTAATGCATAGGTAAGGTTAAAACTATTTACAATCATTGATATGACCCGACATTTTCACTGTCATTATCGTAGTGCTCGTGGTCGATTGGTTAATGAGCACGCTTTTATCGTCTTTCAAGGATCAATGATGTGGGTTCTATTCCAGCTAAAAGTTAATTTTATTTTACCTTGTTATTTTTCTTATTTTTTTTTTGTTTTTTGTCATAAAATATAAATATCAGGCTATAAAAGAAGCAAATGAGTTGGTAAATAAAACAATACTATTTTTTATTACAATTAATTTATTTATTATACAAATATGTTGTTTTATATTCAATATTTATATCTAATAATTAATTATATACCACATGTTAAGTTTAAAGTTCTTTAAATCATAATTAATAGATATGACAATAAACCTCATAGTCGAATCGGGAAATATCATGCGGTACAGCGGTAATACGATGGCAGCAACATTTTTTATTAAGTAGGTAATAAACAAATATACAACATTCTTGTTTTGTAATTTAATAATATAATGTATTATTAAATTACAGTTTTACAGTAATAAACAAGTAAAACATGTAAAAAATTACACTGTCAACATAATATTTCTTGAAATGGGCGACTTTTTGTCGTTTGAACTTCCATTAATTATCTATTTTACGACGGTTGTTATAAGGTTCAATATTCAGTGGGCTGTATGATAGTAAAAAGAATGTGACGAATGCTATGGAACGATTTTAACTTTCATGACCTTTAGAATCAGGGAAACTTTAAATTAATTGAAGATGGGCGTAAATATAATATGTCAATCAAGTTCGAAAGCAGTTAAATAAATTTGTTAATGAAAAATTAAAGTGAAGTGAATAAACATGTTGAATAGAAAGAAATTATGACAATTTCTAACCACAAAACAATAACATCACTTCACCGTATGTTCTAGACAGCATTTTAATATTCTTAAAAAAATTAAACATTATTTTATGTTAATTTTAATAAAGGCAGAGTTTGACAGGCTCAATAATTGATTCCGAAATCAATACAATCACTGATCCTACAAGGCAGAAGGTTGCAATTCGTATACCTTTCTCCATCTTTTCTTCACAATATTTTACGCCCATCCTTATCCGACTTGAAAGTCTTTTCGTCGCTCAATATGATTACACTGTTCGCCCAATCAAAATTAATAAAGTCCTTAGCAAATTCTTAGCGCTTTTGCTGGTGAACCACAGATAACAATATTTTCTTCTCTGGCTTCCTGCACCTTAAACCAGAATGCAGGTGTCTCCGTACAGTTTGTATTAAAACATTCAGTGCTGTCGCTGTAGTGCGGGTTGGCAGGAACGGATCAGCCATGTGCCTGGCTACGATGTCGTAGTGCCGAGCCGATGAATTTGCCTTTGGTTTAGGCCCACGTCGACGATGTTTAACGTCACCGGTCTCCGCATATCTGTGCACCCATAACTGCATGGATCTCCTCTGTTGATACCAAACAAATAAGTATTTAAAATACCAGGAAATACTTTACAGGAATTAAAGTTACTTAAAAATAATAATAAATATAAGTAAACACAATGTTAGAATAATAATTTATAATTAAGTAGTGGCGTAAGGAATAAAAATCCCTAACCAGATATGTTTTAAAGAAACACTCCTAACAAAAACAAGTCAAGTTACAATACAATTAATAATAAATTATTAATATATCTTTATAATATTGAACTTCATAATAAGTTGCAATAATTATTTATTCTAGTGCAAAAATTGATAGGTGTGTCGAGTTACAAAATGAAATAAATATTATTTAGAATATCAACGTAGTATCTTATTTACTCACCGATATCATTAAACGCCTTGCTATTTCAGTTATTGTTAGTTATGTTTTGCTCATGCAAAACAATGGTTTCAGCCTTTTTAAATGTTGATAGGTGTTGGAACATCTTGTAAAAATAAAAATAACTTTGCACACGAATATAAGTAGTGTAGCAATAAACTATGAAATCCTCATAAATTGACAACTAAGAACGCAATTATTTTGTAAGTCGGGTGATTTGAAAAACATGTTTTAAATAGTCGGTAGTTACTTCATAAGCGTGTAAAATAAAATGACTCGAGATTTCTATGGTCGCCACAAACATTGCAAATATACTCAGGTATCGAACCATTAAGAAATCACAGTTAATTACTTTTTTACTGTTTTTATCTTATTTAAGTTGGTTGAAATGCATGAAGCAAATGAGATTATTCTAAATAATAAATAACTAGAACTAAAATATAAATAAAAGATATTATAGGTATAAATAAATCTAAAGTATTTACTATTAAAATTAACATAAGATTTAGAACAATAGGAAAGGAAAAAAAAGAAAAGATTTAATTGTTTCTAATTTCAAATTTCAAATATTTGATAAATTAATTCTAAAACAACATGTGAATGTTGGAATCGATCCGGCGGCACTTTACTTGACAATTGGAGGCGATAACCATTGCGCCAAGCGCGCTGTAGATGAGATCATCGAAATATTTTATATCATTCAGTAACATAAAATTACAATGAGAAAGCACTATATTTATATGGGTATTGTATAGCTCGATCGTTCATTATTTTTGATTTCGATTTATTCAAAGTTTGTTATGAGTAATTTTATCTTTACCCTCGTTTTTATTTAAACTTATTTACTAAATTATTGCGTATACCGACACAAAAATGATTTTTAAATACCAAGATGTGTGTGATAGACGAATGTTTCTATACATATCTATTGATATGAAATTACCCACACATGTATATTGTGTAAATGATAGTTGTGTCGATGTGTAGCGCCGCTAACTAATTAGCGGTGCTTTGTGTACGAGTCACTTCCTATAGACTTTTAGTGTGATGCGGTACTTTTGTATTTAAATTCGGCATGAATTGAACTAAATGTCGCATAAACCATGAGCTATATAAATTTTACACTACATTCATGTTTTCATAAGCATATTCAATAAATTTACATTTAAGTAGGTACATGATTTCAAACAAGATCTTTAGAATTGTTTACTAATTAGAACTTTGACGTTGGTTCATAAGTATAGATAATTATGTCTATACGATTTTTTCTTAACATTCGTATCTACCTTCAGTCAATGCAAATGTTTAATTCTATTGAGTGATGAAGAAAATCAGGTATTCAGGTGTATTTTGACAGCCGCGACACAGGCCGTACCTAGCTAGTGCGATTGTCATTGTATACTGGATTTACATGTATGCTTTGGGCTGGTATTAAGAATGTTTTTATTATTATTACTTATGGTCATTTTCACTGACTATACCTAAACCATCTCTTAAATAAGAGTCATTTAGCTCTTAAACTGTCAAACACCAAGCGGTCACCGGTGACTGCAACCTATTGTTCTTTCTTTAAACTTTCTTCAACCTTTAGACGACATTTATAGGTTAGTACAAACTATACCTAAAGCTGTTAAGTGTCACCTGTCTTAATTTAAAAGTTTCTTAATATTTAGGAAAAGGTTGTGGCAAGGGATATTACACTTTCGCATAAATTCTTGAAATTATTGTAAATAACTTACGTTTCAACGGCTTAGCGGGTACAGGAGCGGCTGCAGCGTCATCTATGGAAGCGGTCTTGCTAAGACTTTCCACAGGCTTCAACTTCTTCTGCATCCATGATGGTGGGGCCTCCACATCCTTTTCTTTTACCCACGGAGGTCTGAACGACTCCCTGCGAGCCCCAGTGTCCTTACTCACGTTACCGATAGGCATGGTGATCTGTTGAAAAGTGTTTTGGATTTGTCAAAGGCCTTTGATTCGGTAGGACATTAAAGTTTTTTTGAGTAAGATTTGGTGCTTTGGTGTTTGTGCTTGACAATTCTGTAAAGTGGTGTTTGTAATCGTATGATATAGGCATAATTGTAAGAATTATAGAAGTAATATGTGGTTTGCTATTTAACTAACACGGGAATGGGCTGAATATTTCCTATTTGCAAATTTTTACAACGTGGTAAAGCTGACAATTTTGTTATGACTCGCTGGAAAATTCACTTCTACATAATAATTTATTATTAGTTAATGGTTTTTAACCAACTTCAAAAAAAATTGACCGTATGTATGCTTTTTTTATGGATTCAGAGCGAACATGTTTACTTAATTAATTTTCGATACCTACCAATTTAAAATTCAGAATAGGCAGTTCAGTTTTCTTAATGGTCAAAGTCTCACCTAATATTGTTCCAACAATTAAGTACCTACCTACTTACCTACCTATAGATAACATTGCACCAATTGAAAAAGCAGATAGATTAACAATGGTGATACAAAATCATTAATCAAGCAATGCTTACGTAGCGATTCTCGATAAGGGAGTTCACATAGTTTTTTAGGTATTAGGTATTGTTACAATATCATTGTTACAATCTCTATTACCTATCACAAATTAATTAGCTTCAGCTTACTCTAATGTTTTATTAATCTTGGTTTTTTTCTATTCCCTAATGTGTTTTATTTATTTGTAATAAGTATTGTTATGAGTATCTATGAGCTATGTTTTTCGATACTTATTTAACAGTTTTATTTAGATTGTTTGTTTTGTTTCTATTCTATTTAGTTAAGGCCATATTTCGAAGCATAGGTAAGTCATATAACAAATAGAGTCATTGTTACAATAATTATACCATAACTCGTGCCCTGTTGTTATATATCTATATTATTATATAGATCTATTCATAGAAAAGAAAGTAATGTTAGTTACACTATTTTAACTCAAGAACGGCTAAATCGATTTTGGTGAAAATTGTTGGGGAGGTAGATTAGAACCTTTGCCAAATTAACGGGGAAAAAACGGGGTTAAGCGTACGAAGTCGCGGGCAGAAGCTAGCTTTAGATAAATAAAACCTATTATTTTATCAAAACTGCCTATATTGAGGAGGAGGTATCGAAGTCGCCAATGAGATGAATGAGGAAAAGGATTGTAATCCTTCTAAAAATCTTTTGCTGACTACAGTCAGCATTTTTCATTTTCCAATTAGCTGGGCAATTAGGTACATTAAGTCCTCCTAATTGATCAAAGCAATTATGAATCTGATGAAAGATATGAATCTACAATGTAACATAATTTCTTGACCATTACTAATCTATGTAATCTTTCAAATTAATCACTTTATCACATTATATCCCTGATTATATTCATTTTGCATACCTATATATTGTGGAATACGTGCGATCACTCGTCTACTTTTGATAATCTGGATATCAAACTGATAACAAGAATGCCCCGTTTTCGCTTAACTTCTGTCGTTTGTGACGTCAATGTCCTGAATGACACATTAGCTCCTTTTTAATGACACATTTGTGTCGTTAGGAGCGTTACTAGAGTTGAGTTTTTATACAAACTTTCAACTCGTTATGGAAACTATTGTAGGTTTGACTTTCGTAAAACCACTACATAAACTGAAAGACACACACAAATGTAACTGCTAACCTAAAGAATATTTAAAAATGTTCTTAATTTTATTTTTAGACCTTGTTATAGGTAGATACATGTTCGTATTTCTACATTTTTTTTTATCTTTAATGACACATTAGGTCTAGTACCTATATGTTGTGTATGAGTAGCGAGTTTCATTAAAATCGGTTCAGTAGTTTCCATAATTCATGACTTGATAGTTTATATGGAAATCTATGGTGAGTAAACGTTCTTAACAAGTGCTTATAATAGGAACTTCAATGACACTATAAATAATATTTCCCAGGTCATTGAGATAAGTCATTGAGTGCTATTATGAGTGCATGATGTTAGAAGTTGCTTTCCATAAATGAAAATGCTTGCCAAAGATGTGAATATGACTTGTGTAAGTTGTGTCGTCACGTCAGTCTGAAGTGAGACTAGCAAGTCATTAGATGGAGTGAATAATCATATCATTTCCACTGCACCCTTGATAATGTTATGTAATATTAGACATTATATTAATTTCAATGGATTTTGCTGACATTAAAACACCTATAGTTAATAGAATTGCTAATATTTTAGTTTAAAATTCAATCTAGTGTACAAGATTCAATTTACCGATATTACCTGCACAATTTAGTTTTATTAAAATGTAATTTATTGTCACAATTGTTCTTTTCAAATATGTTTCTGCTGTCTACAAAAACTAATAAAAACAAAGAAAATTACGAACTAACACGTAGGTACCAAGACAAGTATTTTAAAAATTCGAAAGTGTTCGAAAATCGTCTAAAAATACCAGACTAATATTAAAATTCTGTTTTGTACAGGAAACATTAGCAAGAAATACTTTTGTACCAAGTATTTGAAGAATGAATTATACGAAACAATGCTATGATGAGAGCTATAGTACAGCAGGTGAAACAAGCCAAGGATTGCGTTCATTCATTCAACGAGACTGGATATTTTTAACACAACTGTCATAAGCTTCCGCAGACATAGGGGCGGTATAAATACTCTAAGTGAAGAGCTAGAATACTAGAATGACCTTCGTGATTGATAATTCGTTTAGGATTGAACGATCATAAAGAAAAATAAACAACAAAACAAGAATTTATTTCTCTACATTTTAATTATAAAAATGCTGATATTAACAAACAATAAACAGGCTGCGCGACATCGCCGTGACCGCGCACGCTACTCACGAAGGAGAGGCTTTGTGGCTCGTCACCTAACCCACGTCGTTAACCTAACCCATCATTCTTAGTTAATTAAGTATGTCTCATGAATCACGATAGTCTCAACAAAACAACACGGTTACTGCGGTGGCTGGGCAACCGGCTGCCACGCAACGTGTCGCGCGTTCGATTCACGCACGGAGCAACTCTTTGTGTGATCCAGAAATTGGTGTTCCAGGTCTGGGTGTGATGTGTATATGAACTTGTATGTTTGTAAACGCACTAACGACACAGGAGAAAATTCTAGTGTGGGACAACATTAAAAAAAAACAAACAACGAACGTCCAATAATAATGTTTAAGTTGCGAAATCCAATAATTTTATGCCCAGCATTTGCAACAAAAGAGGTATATTTAAAGTACGTATCTTTTTCGCCGTGATACTATGCAAAACCTTGTATTATACACCGAAACCTTCCTCAGAAATTATACTTAATTATATATAATCTGTTGATAAAATCTCATAAAAGTCCTTACGGCATTTATTGAGGTTATCGCGTACATACAGAATTACAGATAAACGGGAAAAGGACTCTCTTTTCACAACATGTACAACATGAAAAGGGAACATCGTTATTTTCTCTGTTCCATATTAAAAATCACGGGCCCCTTCAAAATCTTGTAATATTAAAAGCAGGAATATTATTGTTTCTGTTATTATTTAATTCGTTAGTTTATGTGAATGCCACGACTATTTCGAGTTTGTTTGGAGTATTAGAGTATTAGCCAAACAGTGCAGACGAATGATATTTAAGATTTGGTGGAGTTACAATTCTTACCACCGTACTCAGAGTCATTGAATGGCTACTAAACCAAGTCCTTAGCAATTGTTATAGTTTAATTACTTGTATGTCTCCGAGTATCGCAGTTAGTGTCGTCTTTGTTTTAGAGGTAGATACAAGATGTTTTCTTTATTCTGGTTTAAGTCTCATTACCGACTTCAAGATAAAAGAGAAGGAACTACGTTCAGATCTTTGTTTTTTAAGACATGGGAATATTTTATTCATTTCGCTGGGGGCATATCGTTTCCAACCGGCCTATCTGGAAGGCATTGGGGAAGGCCTATGTTCAGCAGTGGACGTCCTGTGACTGATATAATGATGATGATGAAGAAACCTAATCCTTGGTATTGACTAGTCTATGATGATGAAAGGAAGAAACCGCTGAAGTGGTACTCGAAGTATTAATGTTAGCATCGACTACAAAGTAGGTATATTCATGATAATGAAACGGAAAAAAGAAAACTCTTAGTAAATAGGTAAGTTCCTATAATTGAATCTGGACTACTTTTCAAAAGCATCAGGTGTATGAACTAAATTTCAGTCGAGTGTCAGACTTTTTTTTTTATTTTGACAAGCGACGAAAGTTGTTGGAAAAGTAAAGTTCTTTTTTCCAATGATTATGAGTACCTACCTACAACTGTAAATGTTTTTTTTACTGATTCAGCGTCGACAGACACAAGGAGAAATATTTTTTTTGTAAGAATACTTAGAATAATTTACAATCACCTTTAGTATAATATATAATACGGAATGTTAAAAAAAGTAATAAAATTAATCCTAAAAAATGTAACCATGCCTTTTATTTCACACCTAATGTACCATAGATAAATAATTGTTAATATCGCCCTAAGACAGTGCCAGAATCTGTTATTGTCGAGAATAAAGAAAATCATATGAAGAATTTAATTAGTCTACTAAATAGGCAGTATGATTATTACAAAAATGGAAATAGAAATCAATTTCTCCATTCGTTTCCAGCACGTTAAAATTTTCGATATTCAACATGGAAATAAACTTTTCCATATTCAACACGGAAATCGAAAATACCTACTCAGCAGTAAGAACTATAAAAATGTCTACCAACCATGAATTTCTTTAATGTTTTATTACAACGTAATCCGGTTAAGCTACGCCATTTTTATTTCAACAAGATTTGTATACAGTGTGTTACAATTATGTGCTGTGGGTGTCTTGGAATGGACTCCTAACCTTTTACTAGTGATAAATTAAAGTCACATTCAGGGAATGAGGTGACTTGTAGTCTTACGTATTTATGAAATATTTCACGTTTCTCGTATTC